CAAACCACCTCTAGTAAAGGAGCCCATAGCCAGTGAGGCTAGAAGTCACGCATAGCCTCCTCTCTCATGAATCTGTCCAATCCCTTTTTAAAGCCATCCAGATTGGTGGCCAACATCACCCCCCCCCACCCCGGCATAGCAGCAAATTCTAAACTTTAACTACATGCTGTGTGAAGTACTTCCTTTTATCTGTCCAAAATCTCTGACCAATCAGCTTTATGGGAGAGAAAAATGTCTTGCTATCTACTGTCTCTTGTTTTAAACAATTCTATCATGCCTCCCCTTACTTGCCTTTTTCCTAAACTAAATAGTCCCAATTGTAGTAGCTGCTCCTCATTAGGGGAGCTGCTCCAGCCCCCGATCAATTTCATTGCTCTTCTCTGTACTTTTTCCCACTCAATGCACTTTTTCAGGTAAGGTACCACAACTAAACACAATATTCGAAGTGCATTTGTACAAAAGATTTGCATAATGGAAGCAAGATTAATTTTTGCACATGGTGGGCATGTCATGAATAGAGTCAGTTAGAGCCGGGGGTCTGACTAGATGGCCCGGGAGACCCCTTCTGACTCGCTGTTTCTGTGCTTTTCTTTCCTGTTCTGTTTCTAAGTAAGCCTAGCAGGGAGTTTGCCTTCTTCATAGCCACTGCTCCCTGGGCCAACATCTTCACTGTGCTGTCCACTAGTACCCCACGAGCCCTTTCTTGCTCCTAGCGCTGATCCTGTGTATCCTTGAAGCTGGAATTTTTTTTGCCCCAACATGCATTGCTTTACACTTGCTTATATTGAGCTGCATTTGCCATTTAGCAGCTTGGAGAGATCCCCGTTTATGTTCACACTGGCTATCCTTCAACCCTCTGATACAAGGGCTGATTTTAGGAACATTTAAATACTGGGGTAAGGAGGTCAGCAATTTCATGTTTAAGTTCAAGAACTCTAGGACGGATACCATCTGGACCATGTGACTTGCTGACTTTCCATTTATCAGTAAAGTTGAGAATTTCATCTCCTGTCACTACATCAGCCTTAATTCTTCAGACCCCCTTGCAGAATACATAAGATCAGGAACAGGTATCTGCTCTGCATCCTCTGCTGTGAAGACTGAGAAAAAGGATTCATTCAGTTTCTCTGCAATCATCTCTCCCTCCCTCACTGTTCCTTTAATTCCCTTATTGTCCAATAATCCAATTGCTTCTTTAGTTGCTTTATTTTGATACATTTAAATAATTATTTATTGTTGGCATTGATGTTGTAGGTTGATATATCTCTTGAACTGTTTCCTTGCTTCTCTGATAGTCTGCCTACATCTCCCTCGTGCAAGTCAGTGGTCCCATCATCCCACCCCCACCCCCACCCAAGACATCCAGTTTTTGAAGGAAATTTTCTTCTCCAAAATAGCTTCCTTGGCTTAATTTATTAACCAAACTGGTGATGGTTATCAGGTGATTACTAGATGAGCATTAGTAATACAAATAAGAATGGCATAACTTTAAAAAATGTACTTTATCAACACTGAGAAAGATTTTGATCAAACAGGGTGGACACAGATGCTGATGTTTATGGAGAGATTTAATGAGGGAATAAAGTTTACAAAATAGAGGAAATTTATTTACACAAAACCAAAGTCAAGTGTACTGATCAATGAAGACTGATTAGAAATTCTCCTTAGAAAGAGAAACACAAAAGGAATGTTATTTTCCTCTTGTTAGATTTGTACTTGATATATTGCCCAAGGATATCAAGATGGAATTTAACAAAAACATGAAGAAGGAAGAAAACAGAAATCTATCCATACATAGATGATACCAACATTTCCTAGAACAGCAATAATGGGGCAAGCTACAAGGATAATTTCTGTAAAATTTCATTGTATCTGACCTAAATCATCTTTAGCTTATGTTCAGTTCAGAAATGAGGCCTGATCAGCTTTTCTTCCAGAGGTAAAGGGACAAGTCATAGAATTCTGTCCCTGGTTTGGCTAACATTGCAAACCAGGTTTGTTCCCGAGTTACAATTCTGGCTTCTTGGAAGAAAGAGAAGCTAGAATTCCTTATTCGGGCATAACCCTGATCAAGTCAGAGAGTCTCCGATTTGAGTAGCTGCTCCTGCTGGCAGAAGTCAAATGAAGCAATCAAAACCCCTCTACTTTTTGCCACTGGTTTGTCTTTGCATTTACACCAGCTCTAGGACTCCCCCCACCCCCATTGTAGGGCTGTGTCAGGGGAAAGACAATACAGATATTGTAATTGCAACACTGAGATTCACAGAAGTGAATACAGTTTTTGATGCTAAGAATGAACTGCACCATATAAAATTAAACATGAGTGGCCAAATGTATATGGTTACCTTCACTCCTGGATATGCAATTAAAATATTTAACAGGCAGTTTGAAACAAGGCAGCATAGAAAACCAATAAAGAACATATTTATTGAACTGTAACTGTGTACACCCTGTGCTAGTGAAAAGGCAGGCAGGTGGTAAAGAGCATGATTCTAAAAGCTATATGGGTGTTAATAGTTAAGCTGAGAAATCAAAAGAAAATGCAGAAAAACTGACAGAGACTAATGGCTATAGACTACCAGTTCCAGCTGTTGTGAGAGGACTGCTAAGTTTGTAACTGCCAGAACTATGTGGAAAAAAAGAACTTTGACCACCACAACATTAAGGCTAATACTGTTTGCATTGCCCTGATAACATTGAAACAATTTTGTGAAATCTCAGCTCTATGACAATAAATGCTGGACAGGGGAATCCCCAATCTGTGTGGAAAGTAAGGGAAACACTCTTGGGGTATTTGGAATGTAATATAATTCCTTTTACATTAGTGACATGGAAAGGCCTCTCCTAAAAGATGTGAGAAGGGCTTGCTTGATATACAACACAATTAAATGTGGTAAACCTTGGTCTTAGGATATGAGGCTGAAAGAGTAACTTTAGTGAAGATCTCTGTGCTAACAGTTGAACTGAACCACTGAAGCAGAAAGTTTAAGGAGGCAATGTTATTATCCGCTGAAACCTGATTATCAGTGTAAAAGATGAAGCAAGCCGTGATGGTTGAATAAAAAGGTCATGACCTGGCACCGAAATGAGTATAAAGTCAGCGCCAGGCAAACCTCTTTGGGGAGCACATTCCAAAGTCTGGGCGCCACTGCGGAGAAAGCCCTCCTCCGGGTAGACACCCTCTGGACCTCCTTCAAGAAGAGTTGCCAAAGGAAGGCCTCTCCAGCCAATCTTAAGGGATGTGAGGGCATATGACGTTCCTTCAGGTATCCTGGTCCCAAGCCATTTAGGCCTTTATAGGTTAATATCAGCACCTTGAATTGGGCCTGGATTTCAATTATGCATACATGTATATGATATATACATAGTTAACTTTTTATGTTGATTGGTCAAATCTATGAAATTTATAGATCTTTAAAAAATATTTAATTCCATAAGAATTTTACATCTATAAAATGTTTAAAGTTAATCCAGTACTAGTGGTCTTTTGTTTTGGGAATCTTTCCCCATTCCCTTCCTTTCAGAAACTAGAATGTGGATGACACAGCTGCAATCCAATCCTACATGTTTACTCCAAAGTATCACTAACTTTAATGGAACTTAACTGCCCCCTTTCCAAAATGTGTCCTTACAATTTATCTAAAACATATCTAGAAGGAGTGGGCAACTTACACCGCTGCCCCTTCCACAAAGTGTTGGATACCCATCAGCCCTACCTGGTATAGCTAACAGTGAGAGATGAGGGAGTTGCACTCCCACTTCTGATGGAACATTTAAAACAGCTCACAAAAAGAGAAGTTATAGCAACTCAAGAAAATGACTTCACAGAAGGCATCACAAGAAACTCTTCTACACAGAACAGACTGGTTTTTGCCCAGAGCCTAAAAGAGCAGAAAGGTATCCCAGAAAAGAATTTTGGAGCACATGATTATTTCCAATTACAAGTTCTAGAAATTATTAGACACCTGTTTTCTAGAAGAGCATAATATAAATATTGTAAATAATCTGAGCACAACCACAATTAAGACCAGGCAGAAAAGGTTCAAAAATGAAGATTCCCTCATCTGCTGGGCAACTTTTTTAGTTCACATCTCACTCTTCTAAGGAACTCACAATACCATATATGTCCCTCCACTTTTCCCCCATTTGTATCCTATCAAACATGTGAAGTAGATTAGGCTAGCAGGTAGCAACCAGCGCATGGGATCTATCCCTTACTTCATTGCTGAATTAAGAGATGTGAGTCTGGATCTCTCTATGGCTACTCCAGCTTTCAAACCACTTCTCAGAAATAAAAGGCCCACTTTGTTCAAAGAGCCCCAGGGGTGAGCAGCTCGTGGCCTTCCAGATGTTGCTGGGACGGCAGTGCTCACCAGCTTCAGCCAGCAGAACCAAGAGTAAGGGGTGACAGGAGTTGTATCCAAACATCTGGAAGCCCACAAGCTGCAGAAGACGCTGCAGTGGTGGGGGATTCATCCTTTGCCAAGCTAGTTCCTTCCGGATATCCTGACCTTGGACGCAAACTATCAACATCACCCTCCAGGATGTGAGCTGGGGATGCTGGAAGCTGTAGTACACCACACCTGCAAGGCGCCCTAATCCCGCTGCCAGTTTTTCCCCAACCCTGCCAGCCCTGCTGGGCTTCCGGCCCTTCCCTCCACAACGACCACAGCCCGCCTCTTTAGGCACCGCCCCCCGGCCGTTGAGCACTTCAGAGCGCCGAGGAGGGCGGGAAAAACACGTTATTTCCGTTGCATCCTGTCTTCTCCGCGGTCCGTCCAAGACGCTCGCCCAATAGCTGTGTAACAGTTCCGCCCGCCCACCTTTTCCACCACGGGCCAATTAGAGGCGAAAGAGGACGGGACTTCCAACCAATCAGAAATGCGATGCCCGTGAATGGCGGCGACGGGAGAGGAGGGGGAGGGGAAAGGAAAGGCGTCCAACCGCCGTTCTTCCACGAAGTCTCTCTCCCGCTCCCCATCGTCTCCTTCCGAACTCACCGGCTTGATCAGAGTCCGTGGCGTCCGTTGCGCTTCGGCCGCAGAGATGAATGCCGGCGGGTCACCCGCCGCCTGCGCGCTCCCGGCCGCAACGAGGGGGGCGGGGATGAGAGGGACGGAGAGAGCGCGAAGTGGCGGTGAAACAAGATGGCGGCGAGGCTGAGTTTGAGGAGAAGCCCAGGCCCCGCCTCTTCCCTACGTGCCTGACTCTTTTCCACCAACGCGCATGCGTGATGATCCAGCTCTCCTCTCCGCCCAATTTCCATGTAGCCTCAAAGGATCGCGATAAGTTGCGGAAGGGGCGAGACTGCGGCGGCTCCTGTCTCTCTTCTCGCGCGGAATCCTGGGAATTGTAGTGTTTCCATGGCGAGCGCTTTCCTAGGCAGAGGTTCATGCAGAAGGCATGAAAGGGGAGCGGGGAAAGCAGATTTTGAACACGCTTTCTTTGGAGTAAATTCCGATGAAGTTTGGGGAGTTACTTCTGATTAAGTCTGTGCTGGCATTAGGCTGCATGGCCTCAAACCCAACCACCATTATGTTAGGGCTGTCCTACTTTGGGCACGTCATGAGAAAGCAAGACTCCCTGGAGAAGGCAGGGAACGTAGAAAGCAGCAGAAGGAAAGGAAGACCAAGTATGGATTGGTGCAGGCCATAAAGAAAGCCCAGCCTTGCATTTGCAAGAACAGGACTGGCAAGGATGAGGCATTCATAAGGTCCCAAACAAGTATGGTACAAAACACGGTCTGAAGGCACACCATGCCATCCACCATATTGAAGCTAAGCAGCTGTGAGGCTGGCCTGAGCTTGGAAGGGAGACCACTCAGGAAGCACATGTATGGGTTCCACAAGGGGGGAGAGGTGCAATAGAGATACAATAAGACTGAGATTACTTCTGCTTCATTGACTATGCAAAAGCCTTTGATTGTGTGGATCACAACAAATTGTGGCAAGTTCTTCAAGAGATGGGAGTACCAGACCATCTTATTTGTCTCTTGAGAAACCTATATGTGGGTCAAGAAGCAGCAGTGAGAATTGGGCACAGAACCACTGATTGGTTCAAAACTGAGAAAGGAGATTGGCAAGGCTGTATACTGTCACCCTGCCTATTTAACTTATATGCAGAGCACATGAGAAAGGTGGGGCTAGATGAATCACCAGTTGGAATTAACATTGCTGGGAGAAATATCAACAACCTCAGATATGCAGATGATACCACTCTCATGGCAGAAAGTGAAGAGGAACTAAAGAGCCTCTTGATGCGAGTGAAGGAGGAGAGCGCAAAAGTTGGCTTGAAACTCAACATTAAGAAAACTAAGATCATGGCATCCGGTCCTCTCACTTCCTGGCAAATAGATGGGGAAGAAATGGAGGTAGTGACAGATTTTATTTTCCTGGGCTGCAAGATCACCGCAGATGGGGACTGCAGCCAAGAAATTAAAAGACGCTTGCTCCTGGGGAGGAAAGCTATGGCAAATCTAGACAGCATACTAAAAAGCAGAGACATCACCCTGCCGACAAAAGTGCGTATAGTCAAGGCTATTGTTTTCCCAGTTGCAATGTATGGCTGTGAAAGCTGGACCATAAGGAAGGCTGAGTGCCAAAGAATTGAGGCCTTTGAATTATGGTGCTGGAGGAGACTCCCACCTTGCAAGGACTGCAAGGCGATCAAACCAGTCAGTCCTAGAGGAGATCAACCCTGACCACTCTTTAGAAGGCCAGATACTGAAGATGAAACTCAAATACTTTGGAAACCAAATGAGAAGGAAGGACTTCCTGGAGAAGAGCCTAATGCTGGGAAGAATTGACAGCGAAAGCAGAAGGGGACGGCAGAGAATGAGGTGGCTGGATGGAGTCACTGAAGCAGTCGGTGTGAGTTTAGCTGGACTCCAGGGGATGATGGAGATCAGAAAGGCCTGAGGAGTGTTGTCCATGGGGTCGCGAAGGGTCGGACACAACTCTGCAACTATCAACAAGTAAAGAAACATAACAAATAAGCCCTCAAACTGGCAGATTTGTAAAAGCATGCTGGGGAAGGGAATGTAAGCTGTGTGGCCAGAGGGCGCTGAAATGTAGAAGGCACAAAAAGTGATGTTTACAGTTGCCATCTAGAGAACATGCTCTGGTCGAAATGCGTGTTAAGACGGGAGTCGCACAGCCTTCAGCTTCATCAGCTGCTCAACTCAGTGTGATTTAAAAAACAACCCTATGTCCTTATTCAGTCTACAAGAAAAGTAGCTAAATCCCTTGAGGGTTTATACTTCAGTTTTGCTTGATATTTGGCTTTCCGTCTCAGCAGTCTAAGAATGGGTTCCAGCCTGAAACTTCATGGAGAGATTCAGCTGTGCTTTGAATAAGGACAAATGCTTTTATTCTGTTGGCTAATTGCTCACCAATCCATCACTCTGTATTTTATCACCCAAAAAGGTTTTGTGAATAGCAATGGTCAAGATAATAATCAGTGTTTTATTTTCTGTATTTGAGTGTCTTCTCTTAGCCCACCTGCACCTGCCGTAAGTGTATATAGATCTGCCAGTCAGAGGTTGACAAATGCATCGTTACAAGATGGGGAATACTTGACTCAACAATACTGCAAGTGAAAAGAATCTTGGAATGGTTGTATATCACAAGCTGAATATGTGATGTGGCTGCAGAAAGGGCAAATTCTGTTTTGGGCTGCATTAATAGAGATATCACTTCCAAATCATATGAAGTATTAGTTCTTTTCTACTCAACACTGGTAGACCTCACCTGGAGTACTGTACCCAGTTCTGGCACCAGAAATTAAGAAAGAAAGATGAAGGTAGTTGGGAAGGCGTTCAAATAAGGATGATCCAGGGACTGGAAGCCAAGACCAGTAAGAAGTGACTAGAAGAACTGGGCATGTTTAGCTTCAAGAAGAGAAGACCGAGGGGAGATACGATTGCTCTCTTCAGTATTTGAAGGGCTGTCTCAAAGAGGAAGGTCAGGATCTCTTCTCAATCATCCCAGAGTTATTGGAATAACAGGCTCAAGTTACAGGAAGCCAGGTTCCAGCTAGATAACTGGAATGACCTAGGGAGGTGGTGGGCTCTTCCTCACTAGAGGTATTCAAGATGCAGCTGGACTACCAGCTGAGAGGGATGGTTTAGCTTGGAGTCCTGCACTGAGCAGGGAATTGGACCCGATGGCCCTCTGGCTCCTTCCAACTCTACTGTTCTATGGTTCTGTGAACACCTCATGCATCTGCTGACCTAAATAGCTTCCACAAAAGGTCATGTCGGAATCAATTTGTTAAAGTACCCAACACTTGTTTTGTCTTTCTCTTGGGTGCAAGTCTATGTAACTTGTGCTTACTAAATTTAATGGAACTGACTTCCAGGGGAACACTGTATGGGCATGATCCAGTGTCCTCCAAAGGACTAAAGCTTGCATACTTCCACTGCTGATCTCTACTGCCCCACCCCCCCTCGCTCTGCACATCATCTTGATGCCATTTTTAGGCATCTGGACCAGGGGTCCTCAAACTTTTTCAACAGGGGGCCAGTTGAAAGGTGGTGGCGGGCGCACACGCCAGGGCAAGGCGGCAGCTCACTCTCTTGCTTGGAGATCGCTTTCTCTGAGCGAGTCCAAAACAGGCAGCAGCGGCAGGCGCACAGTGCGCAGCAGCTCGCTTGCTCAGAGATCCTTTTCTCCAAGCGAGTCCAAAACCTCTGAGGTGGGCCGAATCTAGCTGGAGAACCCATGATCTAGACAAACCATTGGCCGCTGGGTGAAGACTTTGGATAGAGCATAAGCGCTCAGCCTCAGCATGTTGCTTTAGCTCTCTCTCAGGCCGATTTCTGGGTGCAAAGAGGCAGCTGGCACGGTTGCTTCCTCATCAGCTGTGAGGAGGCCAGGGCTCAGGGTGCATACTCTGCATCCCTGCGCCAGATCCCATGGCCACCTCGCAGACAATGCCAGGCCACAGGATTGCACCCTAAGTGTGTGTCTTTTGCTTGATGGATCTCAGAGACTGAATAAAGAGCAGATCAACCCATAAGTCATCCTACCTCTGTTACATTAGCCATCATTTATCCCAGACGATTGGTGCATATAGAAACAGTGGGTGTCTATGAAGTGTCTAGAGATTCAAGTTCTCCAAGTGATGGGTGGCGTATTACTGACTTGCAGTTTAAATGTTTGGCAGATCTCTCCTGCTCATTTTCAAGAAGCGGCAAATCTTCCTCTGGAGACTAGGCTAATTTGCAGGGGAACATTTTCTGAAGTATCCTAATTCAGTTTGTTTATGCCAGTTGTAATCAATAAACAAAGCTAAAAAAGCACAGTCTTCATTTTTGTCCCAATCCTCCCATTTTGGATTCTGTCCTCAGTTATTGAACAACCACCACCATGCAGACTTGCTTGTCATGTTGTGCGAATGGAGTCTGTATTTTATCATTCTTACTCCTTTGAAAGTTACCAACCAGGTTCTCTTAAAAACAAAAAGTGTGTACTTCTTAGCAACACTGAAATGGTGGTGTCTGAAATAAAAGTTTTCTAGAGGTGTATCAGTGTTATATTGCCACATCATATTGCTTTCGTTTTCTCTTTGTTGTGACTAGCACCCTAGCAATATTGACAGTACACAACTTAGGTAATCATTCTGATCTTCATTCTGGTAAGCACTTCATTTCCAAACGAGGCCCTTTGGGTCCTAATTGGATTCTACCGATGCAGAAGGGTGCTTACAGATGTTTGGTCATGCATATCCCTCCACCTCATTGTACAATCAACATCTGGAGCGGATTGCTTACGTTGCTCCCTTGTGCCCTTCTAGATCAAACCAGTAGCTAAGCCAGCTGGTGGGTCCAGATGGCATCCGGACACTTCTGTCCATCCTCTCTCTCATTTGGTTTATTTCTCATGTTCTCTATCACTACCCAAGCGATGCTCCATTTCCTACCCAGTAGCCTCCTCATCAGAAAACAAGGGCATGGTTTGCTCAGAATGACCAGCTTGCAGTATAAAAACCACCCCTTTTGCAGACCATGATCCCAGCGGGCCAGACCTGTCAAGTTGCAACTTGCAGAGCAGCAGTAGAAATGAAGTTTGCTGCACCCTCAGCATTTGCAACATCTGCAATAATGTTTACATCCTCCTCTCCTTGTTTCAGATGGAGCAATATCTTGCTGTCTGTGATGA